ATTTTCTCCTTTATTTTCCATATTAGTAAATCAGCCTGTAATAAGAATGTATTATAATTGGGATATTACAATCAAAATATGAGTAGAAATTATTTTGAATAATTTATGATTGAAACTCAAAGTTTTTCAAATTGGTAAATAATATATAAAAGAAAAAAAAATTACAATATCTATTTAAGCATGATGACTTAAATTATGAAATTGTTGTAGTTGATTTTAAAACAAAAATATGCGTAGATATTTGATATCATATAATATGAATCACTGTCCTTCAGGGGCAGCTTCTGCTCCTCCTGATCTGAGTTTGCTGAATATGTGTAAGAGCACAACGATTCCCAAATATACAAGACTAATTATAAGTACGGTGTTTGGTTGAACTTTTAGAGATGAGACATCTCCAGAATAGAAATTTAATCCTGATTATCCTCCATTTTCTGTTGTTTTTGATGCTAAATCATGTAAATAAAAATATCTTACGACTCTTGCCTCCACCTTGTCTTCTCTTTATTGCATCTTTGGCGAGTTAAGCTTTTTCAGACATTTATTTAATTAATTAATATTAATAATGTGCACGTTGTTTAATTAATATTTGTATTAAAATCATCAAATTAAAACTAATTCACATAATATATTAATTTATTATCATTTAAATACAACTTAAAATTCAAACTGTATTTTTCTCTCTATTTCAAATTATTAAATATTAGAACTAAAACTTCATTTAGAAATATATCATTATTTTATAGAATTACATATTTTTAATTTCAATAAAAATGAAAAGCTATTCTGACTAAATATCATTAGTAATCATATTTATTATGCTTATTATTGAATTTAATAGTTTGAACATAAAAAAATTCATAGAAAACATTTCTTAGAACTTTTAAATGAATTCAAAAGTTTTCATCTCAAAAAAAAGATTGAAGAATAAAAATTGATATAAAATTTCAAAATCATGGTGTTAAATAAATAAATATTAACTTTTTTTAGAATAATATAGAATTTCATAAATTAAATAAATTTCTTTGTAAATTTAAGTTATGGTATTATAAATAAGAGATTCAAATATCAAAGTAAATTTATTTATTATATATTTTAATTAAACTATTCATATTTTGTAAATAGTTTTCCTTATTAAGCCTTTGTTAATTTAATTAAAATTTTTTTTTTATTAGTTGTTTATTTCATTCCTCATAGAACCATTATTATTATTTAATGAAAAAGTTAAGAAAGGCTCTAATTAATCAACCTCAATAATTTTGTATTCCTATTCATTTTCAGAATTAAAATAATAATTTTCATTCTACTATTCTACTTATTAATTATCCAATTTAAATTCACTAGATTCATTGCTTCTAAATTTAAAATCCTCTTAGTTTATAAATTCTGAATTTGTCTAGTTTTGATGTTAGATTTCTTAAAAATTTGGTAAATACTTTATAAATGGCGCATTCATTTATCTAGAAAGATATTCTTCTTCAATAGATTCTTATGGTCCTCTTTTGTAATTTGTTTAAAATATGCTATCATCTTAGTCTTAGATGATAGTTTTATATAAATCCTCAGATTCAACAACCTAAATTTGTTTTTTTCTTTAGCTTGCCTTAATGTATTTTTTATCTCCTAATTCTATCATCTTTTAATTAATAATGAAAACGATATTAAAAAATTCCCAGCCTAATAAATTCTGTTTCTTACTATTACTTTAATTTAAAAAGGAAAAAGATAGTTCATTATAAATTTAATTCTGTACTAATTAAATTAGATTGAAAGTGATTATAAATTGAATAATGTAAAAAAAAGTTGAAAATATAAAAAATATTCTTTGCAATAAATTATTAATATCATTGTTTTTGTTGTCATCTATGTGTCAGTCAGATTGGTGTTATACCATCTTTAATGTCTACATAATTTAAGCATTATTTTATTATTCATTTTAATAATTTTGATAAAATTATTAAGATAATGGATACATTTGTTGTTACTAATAGAACATCATTGTATTTTACATTAAAAATGCTTGATATTATTAATAATCATAAGTTTATTATTATGGGTTTTATTATTAAATCCAATAATTTTACAATGGTTATTAATATTACTATTAATATTATTGTTATATAAATTATTGATATTATTTATACTGATTATTATTAATAAATTGTTAATTTACTTATTATTATGAAATTTATTTATTCTTATCTTAACAGGAAGTGATTTATAAATTTAAATTGGAATTTACTTTTTAAGTAAATCGTTTTATATTAAAATTTACTATGGCAAATTTCCAAACAATTTGGCCATGATGATTCAAGAAGTTGCTTTCATGTAATTTTGAAAGATATTCTAAAAATTCAGCTCGATATTCTTAAGTTAAATATTCATACAATCTTTATATAGGATAATTGGCAAACTAATCATTTACTAATTTACGAAAAGACCTAATTTAATGGATTGGATTTACTCTTCGGAGACTGACACTTCTTCTTCCCAAAGTTTTTATCTCCATTTAGGTCCTGAGTAAATGATTGCCTTTTCAGCAACATTGCTTCCATATTTATCTACAGACATCTATACAAAGTCTTTGATAAGATATTTATCTAATAGTAATGTTTTATGGGATTCTTATCCTCTCTCTAAAATTTATTAGATTATATAATTTGAGTATTATCTTCTTATTAAACATGAAGAATTCTCTATAACTCTCATGATTATATCATTTGCAACTTATTTGGAATTTTAATCAATTTATTTTGGCAATATATCAATTATTTTATTTACTATAAGACATCCATATTAATCTGTAGAAAGTTCAATTTACTGTTAATTTAAAATCTAAAAAATTTAATTAAAGATATTACATATTTATCCAAAATAAGTAAAAGATTATGTAAATTTTTGCCATCAAAAACTTCTAAACATTTTTGGAAGATTTAATTGGCAATTTTGTCTGTATACAATTTTATATTGTTATCTTCTAATATAAAATTAGCATATCTCTAAAATTAAGTTTATGAATCTTAAGGGTATTAAGCCATAATTTCTAATCCTTTCTACATCACCTTACATGCATAGAGATCAGTAATAAGCTTATTAATTCTATTGAAAATTTGATCTAAAATAATATTTCTATACAAAGGAGGACCTATATAAATTATGTCACTCTTACCAACTTCAATAATTTTTTCCAATATATAGTGCATATACTTGTCTAAACTTAAGTTGATTATGTTATTTTTTATAAAGGTCATAAAAACATATTCTCTTTCCTTAGGTTTGGCATTTTCATATTCATATTGCATACGTCTTGAATTTTTAGTTAATTTTTCATGTGTAATATAAGATGACCTTAAAATGAAATCGTTTAATTTTACATATCAGCTTAAAAAGCAGAAATTAGGGATGGTTTGAAATTATCATTTAGTAATACATTCTTCATCTATTAATTGAGTTAATCGAATTCATGATCTTTAATTATTTGAAAAACATTACCTACTTAATCCAATTAATCGTCAAATTATTCAGAAGATAATATTTTATCTATATTGGAATTGTCAAATAGACTTTAAGTAGCAGTTGATCCAGTATTTGAGGGGAAGCAATTTCTTAATTCATCAACATCAGAATTAAATTCGATAGGTATTGGATTTGACATAATTTTTATTAACAAACTAATTATTATTGAAAAATTACATCATCCTTATTAGAATTAATTGACTTAAATTCTTAAGGTTGGTTTTTATAAATATGGAGATAAATTAAATTTAAATATTACGCATTATGCCATAATTTACAATCTTTGAGAATGGAGCTTAATTATATAATTGATTAAATAAATAATAATGAATCTTGATCAATTTTAATCCACAGAAGAAGATTGGCCTCAATAATCTTGGAATGAAAATGAAGATCTCGATTTCTCATCCTCTCCTATAATGTTTGGTCGTAAAAGCCATAAAATAAAAAAAGAAAATGACATAAACAATCAAGATTACTATATATAGATTTAATAGATAGAAGAGCCTTCAGATGACCAAGAATTTAATAAATTTTTCATTAATTCATCTATTCCTCTCAGTAAAAAGAAGATCAGAAAAAGTAAAAAAATCAATAGCAGCACAATAAACAATCTATATCAAGAAATATTTTCAAGTATTTTAGAAAATTCAGAATCATAATAGGAGACTCTGAAAAAATTATAATAATGTCAAAATATTAAGGTTCTAATAGATGGATTGGAAAGAACTTTGATGAATATAAAGCAAATGCTTCTTCTCAAAGTGAAAAATAATATATACTGATTTGAATGCACTTCATGTTTGTGTTTTCGATTCATAAAATAACATCATATATAATATAATTTTCAAACTTACTTTCTTTTGCCAGATTGATTAAACAGAGCAAAATACTAAAATAAACTCATTTATATCAACCAATACATAGAAAGATAGTACTAAAATATTGATTAGTTTTTAGTACATGTATGTTTTGAAATGAAAAAATGTTAGTCGTTATTTAGTTATTTAGAATAATAATAAATTAGGATGTGAATGTAAATGGATTTAATTAGTTTTTTAGAATAATTATATAAGGTCATTAAATTTATTATTGATCAAAGTATTAAAGGAAGATTTATATAAAACTCAGTTTTTATCTTTTTGATTGATCATAATATAAAATATTTAAAAAGAAAATACACAAGTAAAATAATTTAATCATTAATTAAAAGTGTTGAGAAACCAACCATCTGGAATAAGTTACAAATTAGATTCATCAGAACAACTTATTAATTTACCATTTTACCATTCTCCAAATTTTTTCTTTCCTTCTTTATTTATCATAAGTCCTTTTCCATGTTATTTTCCATCAAACCAATAACCTTAATATTATTTACCATCAGGCCAATTGAATATACCAAACCCAGACTTTTTATCATTTTCATATTCTCCATCATAATATTTCCCATCAATCCAACGGTAGTATCCTCTACCATGCATTTAATTTCTTGCCCATTAACCGTAATAAGACTATGTTCTAAATAACTAATAAATTACCCTACCATCTGGCCATTCATATTTGCCAACTCCATTAATCATATTATCTACCCATTCACCATTATATGTACTTTATTAACTCCATTTATAAATTCCTTTTCCATTCTTTTTTCCATTTCGGAACTCACCTTCATAAACAGATCCATCAGGCCACACTTCTTTACCAAATCCATTTGATTTTCCTTATTTGAATTAACCAGTGTATATAGGCCCTCTTGCATATATACATTTTCCATCTCCTTCTAATTTATTGTTAATAAAACTGCCTTCATATATATCACCGTTAGGCATGACCAACCTGCCAAGTCCGTTTGCCATATTGTTAATTACTATTCCAGTATAGATCCCACCATCCTAAAAATTAAGTTGATTCTAAGAACTCTCTATCTACTCTTGTTTTGAATCTGAAGAAAGATATTATTCCTTAATAAATGTAGAAGAGTTTGACTTGCTATCCATTGAAGGTGGTTTTTCTATTTATTTAGTCATAAATAATACAAGGCTGTTTCTCATCATCTTCTTCATATTCAGGATCAGAATCAGAACTAATTACTTCTTATTTATTTATTTCGTTTGAATGTACTTCTTGTCTCTTTTAGCATTTTTAACATTCTTGTCCCATTGTAATATATACAATATATCTCTTAAATTAAGTATTATTTATATAAATAGGAAATGTAAGTGCTAGTTGTATCTAACCTATTGCACAAACAAAGAATCAGTTATTTTAAATGGAAAAGCAAATCATTAACAATAAGTATTCTGATGTAAGAGAATGAGAAGATGATTTTTTTATTAGGATTAGCATAAAGTAATTCTATTTATTCTATTTCCAACAACTCTATTTTATAAACAATCTTAATCTGAAAGATTGGCTGTTCTGAGCTCCAAAAATGGACCAATTTCTAGACTCCTTTCCAGAGATTAAAAATCAGATATTAGGAACTATCTTAAGTTAATTATACTTTACTAAATTATTCATTATATAATTCTAAATCACCAATACTATTAGTATAAATTCTAAATGACATTGAAATTGAAGAGAAGAGTGCTCCAATTAAATATGACCATGCCATCATTCACTTTTGAGAATGGAAACTTTTGAGAATGGAAGGATGCTTAAAAGCTTGGTTTTGGAAAATTATTGGGACTAGATTAAAGTTATGATAGAGTAGATTTTGTTAATAATGAGGCATCTAGACACAGTAGATTGGTTCATACTTTTGATGATTAGTATGTAAGTTAATGGAAGAATGATAAATAAATAGTATTAATAAATATTGTTGATTTAATTATTATCGATTTGTTGAATGACAAATAATGACTAAATTGAAAAGAAACAAGTTCATTTTATGAGAAAGAATATTATGATAATAAAAAATAAAGTAAAGAAGTATTTGAATGGAGATTAAAGAATATAAAAGAAACATAATAGAAGATGAAAGGTTTATAATTAGAAATGGAAATAAAAAACAATTGACAGAGAAGGAGTATCATACAATTAATTGTTAAGAATTTTTATTGTTCTTATAGTAGAATTTATTAAGGATGACAAGAATTGTACACAGAGTTTTGGAATTGAATAATTATTTTTATAAATAAAGAGAATGGAATAAAATGAAAGCAGAATTATCATAGTGATCTTTTCCAAAGAGATTTAATGCTAATTGATTAATATGATTAAATGATTACAATTTGTCAAAGAAAATAATAGGTAACAACTTCTTAAACTTCTTTTTGTTTAATATTTTGGTTTACTATATATTATTTCAATTTCATCACTCTTAAAATTATAATATTAACTGACATGAGTGAATCCTAGCTCATCGAAAAGCTTCAATAATATGGTAGCAAGAAAGGAAAGTATGAGAATGAACTATTAAATTCTTCTCAAGAATGCAGTTATAAGATTAGTACAAGTCCTAGATTTCATAAATTTCATCAATCTCCTGTCATTCATCAATCACCTGCTAATGTTTCATCATCTCTAGAACATTATCCCTTTGATAAAGAGGAAATTCAAATTAAAGATCCTTAAGGTGAAATTCGTTTCCTACTTAATATCATAGATTAATTGTAATATGATTTATAAATACAATATAATGACAGTGAACTTATTAAAAAGAAGTATTAAGAATTACAATATTAAGTTCAGAAAATGCAAAGTAATGTTTTCAAAGAGTAAGAATAATATGAAACAAAGCAATATTGTGATTAGTTAGAAAGATAAAATAAATAATTAAGTAATGAGAATAACACTTTAAAAAAAAATTATTAAGAAATATAATAGAAATATCTTGATTGTTAAAAAGATTTAGATAATTTAAAGTTAAATGCATCAGAATTATTAATATAAAATGAAGGATTATATTCACTATTAAACTCATTAAAAGAAAAGCATTAATTTGATATTGACAGTCAAGCTAAACATTTTGAATTAATTAATTAAAAAAAAATAGATGATGAAATAAATATCATTTAGAAATAATATAGAAGAGAAATAGAAACATAAAATTCTATTTCAGATTCATACAAAAAAAAAATTGAAGATTTAACAAATGAATGTGAAATAAAATCAAAGAAACTTAGTTAATAGCAAGAAATAAATTTAAAATAAGAATTAGAAATTGAAATTTTAAATGGAAAATTAATTAGATATCAAAAATTAGAATAAGAATTAGTTGATATAGATACTTTATATTAATAAAAAAATAGATTATGTTAATAATTAGTATAAGATAATACAAAATTAGGAGAAGAATTAAAGAATTAAAAATAATAAATCTAATAATTGGATTCATCTTTTAAATTATAATAAAATCTATTAGAAAAAGAAAGGAGTGATTATGTTGAAAGAATTTAATAATTATAAAAATAATTAGATGAATTATAAAATGTAAATAATGAATTTAAGAAAAAAGAGTTGGAATAATAAAGATTACTAAATAAATTATCAGAATATGGTGATGAAAATATGAGATTATTGGAATAGAATACATTTATATTAGATAAAACCAATGATACAGAAACATTAAGAGTTAATTATAAAAATTTAGTTAAAAGATATTATTAATTAAAAAGTGAGAATGATGGATTAGTATACAGTATTAATTAACACATAACTAATAGTGCCATACTATAAAGATAGTTATAAAATGCAATAATAGAGAAAAATGAAGTCATCACCAATCTACATTATACATAATAATAATTACTAAATTTATAATATTCAATAAGTCATTGAATTTATTTTATATTAAAATATATTATAAATAATAATGAAATTTAAATCAATCTACTCTTGATGGTGGTTCCTTAAATTCATCCTTAATATTCATAGTTTTATCTATTCCTTAATCACACATCATTTAACAAAACTCATCAAATGATATTTAATTATTATTATTAGGATTGATTTCATTGATCATTTCATTAATTTTATCTTCCGAAATTTATCTTCCATGTCTAGCTAAAGCTTCTTTAATATCATCTTTTTATATATGACCTACATTTAAAGTATCGAAATATTTAAATAAAGACCATAACTAATAAATATATTAATATATAAATACTCTTTCTCTAGTGAATATTTTTCTTTAATCAATACAAGCAGCTAAAAAATCTGTATATTTAATCATTAATGGTCTTGGAGATTTACTTTCTAAGAATTAAATTCCATCTTATTCACCCATTAATTAAATACCTTCATCCTCTTCTAAAACAATAGTTTATATTAATTGTTCAATTTCCCAATGAGTTACTATAGAACCCTCTTTGATTAAAGCTGATTTAAGTTCTTCTACTGTAATTGTTCCTGAATTATCAACATCAATTTTTGAAAATATCAATTTTAAATGTTGTAAATCAGATTCATTCATTTAATTGATTAGTACTTTTGTGACTTCTTTTTTAAACTTAGCTCCACCTCTATATGTTTTTAACATTTAATAAATAGTTCGATCTTATTGGAATTGAGTAGATTTAAGTTTATCAGTTAACAATAATGATGGATTTTATTTAGTTTAGAACCAAGGATGATCCATACATTATTTTGCAGATGGTCTTAATTGAGGATCTTTAGAGAGCATTTAACTAAGTAAATTTTTAGCTTCTTCAGAAATAGTATTCCAAACTTTAGATTCAAATTTAACTTCCTTAATTCTTATATTGAGAAACAATTTCTCTTTCGATTAACCCACAAATGGAGGAGTTCCACATAAAAGACTATAAAGAAGAACACCTAGACTCCAAATATCACATTTTTCATCATAATCTCCTTCAATTACTTCTGGTGGCATATAAAGAGGAGTGCCAATAAAAGTCTTTAGTTTTCTTCTTCTATGTATTACATCAAACTTATTTGCAAATCCAAAATCAATTAACTTAGGTTCCGAATAGAGACTTTGTTCAGTAAATAAAATGTTTTCAGCTTTAATATCTCTATGTACTATGCCTTATTCATGTATATAGATAACAGCAGAACATATCTAAATAACTAATATGATTTACTTTAGATATAATTCTTTATACTTAATGTTCAGTTAAATTTATCTGTTGTTTTGCAATTCTTTCTACTAACTCACCTCCTTCACAATATTCCATACATATGTAAATATATAATTCACTCTAATAGACTTCATAAAACTTAATTATGTTGGGATGATCTAATTTTTTGAGTGTATATATTTCATTAGCCAATTATGCTTCTTTTCCATGGAGATTATTTTTATCTATAATCTTAATGGCATACTATTTTGTTGAATTATTTTTCATTGTAGCTAAAACAACCTTACCGAAAGACCCTATTCCTAGTACTTTACCAAAATTATATAAAGAATGGATGTCTGTTGTTGAAGTAAAAATAGAATCGTTGTGACTAGTTTGCATTGGTACTATTCTAGCATGTTATTTTGGTTGTAAACAACCCATTTAATTTTATTATCGCTAATTTTAGATAATAAATAAGTCTTATATATTCATCAATTTAATTCGACTTCCCAAAAAAATGGCCAATCCTTTCCAGTTATCCAAAATCTATTATTAATTTTACTTAAATTTACATATCTTATTCAGGCTAATACGCAATCCCACAAATACAATTACTTAAATCCTTTTCAAATGAAAAATCTATTAGTTAAGAAAAATCATAATAATTTTTCCTATATTTACTGATATCATAATTACACATAGCCTTCTGTTAGATTAATTGCCAGAATGATTGGATTCAAATTTGTACTTGCATATAAAATTCCATTTACATATTCTATCTCACTCAATCTATCTACTGAAGAACCATTGTAAAATCGCACTTAAATTATTTATTTCAGAACTAATTCTTAATCAAGAATCAACACTTTATCAGTTCCATTTGTTATATAGATTTCTAATGTATTATTCTCTTTATAAGAATGTGAAATCCCTAAACTCTCTTAAAAATCTATATTTAACTTTCTATTCTCCAATACTTCAAGTGTTTCTACATCTCTCAAGAATCTGATAATAATAATTATACTACATCATATGTTCTTTCCAAGTTAATTGATATACCTATCCATCAATTACATCAACTCCCTGACCTTGATATAAATCATCCAGTATCACTCTTTAAGATATTGTTGTCAA